AAATAAAATTAAGCAAAACTATCGAAGGCAAAATGTAAGCAGCAGTCTTTTTCTGAGAACAATAGGGTCTAAATACACGGGTAGATATTTTTGACACTCTTGTTTTCTATGAATTCATGATTGTTGAAGCTGATAGAGTATCAAATACACTGCAGAGTTTGTCTCTGATTATAGTTTTGCCATTCACTGTTTCCTGTAATTACTATTCCCATTGTCCTTGGTCCATTCGTTGAGATGGAGAAAAATACAAAGGATGACATTTTTCATATTATTCCTCTTTTCTTCTTATGTGGGTCAGTCATATGTTTTCTTTTGATCCCATTTGATGAGACTGAAGTCAGTTGTGACAGATACTTGGGGCTGAGGATGGAAATTTTACTTCTGAAAACTGAAGTGCACTAGGTGGGGACAACGGTGCAGTCATCCGAGTTCCGCATTTGCATCACTTGTCCTTTGGTGGGAGACTGTGAGAAATACTATAAAAAAATATAAGCCAAGTTTCTGGGTGTAATAAGCATTTTCTGGTGGCGAAGGGCTCTGGTTTGTGCTGTGCTCAGTTTCCTGTGTGAAGGTTGTCTGTAATGTGCATTATTATATAATATGTAGTGTTAAGAAACTCATAGTTAAAGTGACTTGTTTTCCAGTCTCAGGACAAGGCACTTCCACAGTTTCTTAGGAGATACTGCTCAATCCCAGTCTCTTTCTGTTGCCTGTGTCCATGGATGGCCAAATAGAGAGCATCACCCTAGGTCAGGGTGCTGATAAGGACCAATATCTGTCATAGGATTTGTTAACGCCGTATGTTAAATTACAAAGTATTTATCCTTATGACCCAGCAATTAATGTTAGATCTGTTATGGGCTTATCTATGCAAATCTATCTGCATTTTCAGTTAACCTCTACTTTTTCCTCATTTGTGGTGTTTGCATTTCTGTCGCAACTACCATATTCAAATTAATCTTTCAGTATGTCTTTGTATATATATAAAAGTTGTATTTTAATATCCAGTAATATTGATCTTCCATTTTTCATATAACTGTCTGAAGACCTGCCTTTTTTCCTCTTATTCCATTATAAATTGAAAATAAATGAAGTGTATATTATTTCCCCTTCAATTTTCCAGTCAGAAATAACAAAGTATATGAGGTATAAGTTTCAAATTTTTTTACTGAGCTCATATGAAACATAATTCTCAGTAAAGCTAGTGAAACAATTTAAACAATTGTGAAATAAAATGTCAAATGTTGTAATGTATTCTAGGCCAGCTTCCAGGTAATGGAATAGTCATGAAAACATTTGGAAATTCTTAAGTGTTCATGAATTTTGAAATAAGCTAGTATTTAAGAACATGAAAACTGAAAAAATATCATTCACAGAAAGCTAATTTATTTCAGTTTTAAAATTGTGAGATAGGTAATATGAATAATGAATAAAATTAGGGAATTTGTGGGCACTTCAAAAAAATAAAGTACAAAATAGCTTATTTACAAAAAAAATATTAATAATAAATAATTCCATTGAACCTACCTCTTGGTTTTTTAGCCTACCTGCAAACCTACCCAAGATGTCTTTGCTATATTAAGACAAATATGTAGGAGAGTATTTCAGTATAGCCATCCTCCTCTTTGCAGTCCTTTAATTTACCTTAAAAAAAAAAAGAAATTGTCAGCTGAGTTGGTGAGAATGATCTTGCCACATATTTCACCTTAACAGCAGCTGTGTTCTCATTCATTTAATTAAAATCTGGACTGACCTTTGGTGTCTGAGTAATGCAGTAATGGGGGCCACCTAAGTACTGAGAGCTGTTCTACAGCCATGTCAGTACTTCACATTGAGCTGCAATTTTATCTGCCTATGTTCCTTAGGTAATAATTTTCTATCCTTTAGTTCTATCACCATTCTGTAACTTCTTAGTATTGAATATACTGGCACTGATCTTATTTTTATAGATTAACTTGAATTACTGTTGGTTCATTCTGTTAACATCCGTATGTTCTAACAGCGCATCCATTAATGAACGTAATTCTGGCAGCTGGATCCCCGTTTTGTGTTGCTAGCATACCATATATAGGATTTAGCAATGTACTTGGGTGACACTATGTTACATATACTGTTATGTCAGAAATGTTTATGAAAATTATGGCTGCACACTGGCATTTGGTATCTATTTCAGTTCCTTCATGGATAAGATTTGACTCAGTCCTGGGTCTGACTCCTTTCTGTAGCCTTAAATATCTGGAGTGTTCTAATCTTATTATTTTCAGTAATTTCACTGTAAAAGAATAAAAAATTTTAAAAAAAAATCTTCAAGACAAATCAAGTCCAGCAAAAAGGATCATTTCAAGCTGCATCTGAGTTCGAAATCCTTAGCTTTTATTGTGGAGACATGCAAAGTAGGTGGGGAAAAAAACACTGGGCAGTGATATGTTTTCCTCAGTCAGTGCAAAGTAATAAGGAGTATTTCCCCTACATCCAGTTATTGTTTTTTTGTTTCAAGAATGGAATTTGTAGTACAGATCTTGAGTGGGGAAATACTGCAGCACCAGAAGAGTGGTTTGAGCTGGGGGCAGCTGGCCACAGTTTCTGTTCTGCCTCACAAAAGCTCTTGCGCTGTGCTTGTTGCACCGCTGAGCTTCTGTCACTAGTGAATTAAGCAACGAGAACACGAACCTGTTGTATATTGTTTGTCCTCTCATCCTCTTACCCTGAGCCTGTGCAATGGACTGTCTTGTTTGGACTTCTGGTAGATATGTATTTCTCTCACGAAAGGCTAAGCAATGTGCCATGCAGTTGGATAAGGCACTGTGACAGTTCTGATGGGCCAGGGCTTCCAGAGACGGTCTTTGAATTGTCTTTAAGAGTCTTTTATGCAAATAAGTTTGTGGCTAATTTTGCTCTACTGCCATAACCCCAGCCTGCTAATCAGTTTGTTAGGAAATCTTTGAGATATCCTGGTCTTTAGCAATTCAGTTCCCAGCAGGTGAGAGTCAAGACCATGACCTTAGTTTGATATCCAGTGGGACACTACTGTTAAGCAGAGGTGACAGTTTGGAGTCACTGAGAAGACACGCTATGATGTTCTGAAACCAAGAAAGTTTCCTTAGAGCTAAATGAAAGCTTCTTACGCGGGTGTATTTCATTGCTGTAATCCAAAAGAAAGTGGTGTGGAAGTTTCAGTGAAGTCTGTCCACTGTACACTAAAATGTGGTAGAAGCTAATAGCTAGCTGGAGATGGCAGCTTAACTGCATTACTTACAGCTGCTGCCTGCGAGAGCACAACATTAGCAAAGCACCAGAGATTATCCGGTTACAGTCAGCCAACAGAAACAGCATAAGGGCTGTTTCTCAAAACGCTCTCCCCACCACATCTGTTTTCTTCCAAGGATACAGATTCAGCTACGTGTTCTCCATCCACCAGCCAGTTTCCTGCTGGCTGCTTGATAGTGGGCTTGTGGTCGTGTGTAGTGAAAGAAAGGTAAAATGACATCTCATTTAACAGAATTGGCTTTTGATGTCAACTAGTCACTGAATGCAGGTGCTGAAGAGATTAGGGACACGACTGATTCACCCCAAAAGAAGGTATCTAGAAGTGAAAGAACATTTCTCCATTGCTAGTCACTGAAAGTGTCCTTTCAAGGATTGGTTTTCATGTTAACAGTCATCCTCTCATCCTTACTTGGGCGAGGAGCCATATCTCATTATAGCCAACTGCGCTGAAAGCTTCAAGGTTATTGAGAAAGATGAGAATGAATGTCTGCCCTCTGCCACAGAGAGAATATCATCCACGAGTATCACTGAAGCAGTTTTAGTCTGAGGTCCTGGCCGAGAGTCCTGCTATATGACCTTCAGTTACATTTCCTTCAGCTAATAGATGTGGTAGTTGCTGTTTGGCTTCCTTTCTGCAGAACGTGTTTGGGGCTGGCAAACTTGCAAGGCCCTTGGCTGGAATCATTGTATCCACGTGGCCCTCTTCATGGTTGGTTGGATTTTTATGCGTAAAGCAGGAGGAGAAAATTTATCTGGAATCAAGACGTGGTTGTTTAGTGTAGGAGACACACATTCCTCTTCATAAAACAGGATGTGAATCATATTGACAAGCTAGTGGTCAAGGCACCTTTTGATGAATGAAAATTATAAACTGGAGCAGTGCTTGAAGAATTTTGTTTATTGACTTACTCTATGAGGATTCATACCGTTTTAGAAGACTTTCCAAACGACTGTTATGTGAAGGAAGATTGCAATTCTTCACACTGCTTGTTCAGGTTTGATGCTAGGTGTGGGCACTTAGGATTGAGGAAGTAATGTTCTATCTCGGACAGGGTCTTTGTCTTGGCTGTTAATGCTCTTCATGTAAAAAAATAGGGAGATAAGTCAGCTAACTTAAATTAATTTATAGTAGAACCTGATTGCTGAAATAGTACAAGCTAAAGCAAGTGTTGCTGCAGATACTGAGCATGTTAAGTTTGTCCTAAATAGAGGCAACCTTCCTATCTGCCTTTCTGAAAACTCTTGAGGCTTATTAAACATATATTGTTCTTTAAGCTTTCTAAGGCTTCCTTTTTTTTTTTTTGGCGTACTTCAATGATTCTTAACGCATGCACATTGATAGAATGAAATGCTACTCATCTTTATTGGTCTGATTAATTCAATATTCATGAGTGCTAGGAATAGGCTTAGTAAGTGGAAGATGGCAATTGAAACTTCCTTAACAGCACGCAGAAGAGGCATAATAACGGCTAAGAAAACCAAATTGCATGGGTTTGAAAATCTGCACTGAGCAGTCATTAAGCATTGTTCTTCAGTTGTGTGATTTCATTTCATTAAGTATTTGCATACTAATAGAAAGCTAAAGTTACAAGTCTACTGCTGTGAGTGATGGTTAGCCACTCCTTCCAGTCCTTGTGTTTACTTCTATAGTCATCCACATTGCTTTGGCAAAGCACAGGGAGAAGCTTTAATGATTTCAGCTGCAATAAACCAAATCAAACTAGAGATCAGTAATGAACTTAATTTGCTATAGAGACAGTCTGTTTGCTATTTCATCCAGTAAGGTAAGTTAATGACAATTTTGTGCAAAAAAGAAGGAAGTTAGATGTTCTAATTTTATTGTTTAGAAATTGAATACAAAATTCTAATGTCCTTACATGCTGGGTTTATTTCACATACCACTATGTGTGAGCTTTTGAAATGAATGTTTGAAAACTGGGGGGCCAGTATAACTGTTTGCTTAGTTTCTTTAATTGGGGACCTAGACTATCTATTAGAAAAATCCAGTTCCTTTATATCAAAAAATGCGTTAAAGGAATTGACCGGTCATTTCAGCCTGGCTAATGACAAAGTGTGAACACTTCCAGAGCAACATAAATTTAGTTAAAGATCAGGGCAGGTAATCTATACAGTAAATGAAGCTGAACCCAGGTAAGACGTTGGCTGGTGACAGTATGTTATCTGTATAGTCTGTTCTGTTTACAAAAGAATCTTATATCTGCCATTTAATCAGAAGAAAGAAACTATAGTCAGGCTTAGCTTTCATACTTGTAACAAACATTTTATTTCTAGGTGTATGCTGAAGTCTTAAGTTTCAGTAAGTTGCCTGGCTCAGAGGCCTTTGCTGAATATTTTCTATGTATTTTCAAGTAATAATGGCGTTCTGTTTCACTGCACCTTTTGTATAAGTAAAGTGCACTCTTGATTTTTAGGCTTGTAAAGAAAGAATTGTACATGATCTTAAAGATCATTTGCGGAATGAAATGTTTCCAGGATCTCTATTACTTCAGTAGTGTGAATAATAATAGTTCTATTTTCATAAAAACAATGATGTTCATTGTTAGATCTGAGTTTAGCTCTTCCCCCTTTTTCGTGAGAGTAAAAACAATCATGCAAGTGATGTTCGTGCTTGATATTCTGATACTGAAAAAATGGTATTGCCAAGGTAATTGGATAATATGATTTTCTTAAAAGCATGAAACAGCTTTATCTCAGGTATGTCAATCTTAATGCCATTAATCCTCTAAGGAAGCAGATACCGTGCATATGCATTTGTGTGCAGTGTAGTACGTGACCTTGCAAGACATAATATTGGCCATTCAAACAACGTAAAAGCCTGTGGGAAAATTTGTGCAGACCTCCTGACTGGAAAAAAAAAAGAGCTGGAGATTCACATTGACACTTTTCCCAGCATTTTACCAGTTGACAGAAGGAAACACACTACAGAATGTTTAGTACTGTATGTATAGAAACAGAATGCATGAAATAATGTGATCAATTTTATTTTCACAATTTGTAGTTTTGAGAGGGCTTTATGTTTTACCTTTTTCCCATTATATGAAACACACTACTGTGACAGTAAATTGCATTGTCTGCTATAAGCTGTTACAGCCATTCCTTTTAGGCACCAAAGAAAGCACTCTGAAAATCAGGTCACTTCTTTTAATAGCTATTGCTTGAGGTATCTGACTATCGGCACAGAAGTATTAAAACATTGACATTATTTTATCTGCCTGTATTTTCTAAACAGCAAAGTAGGTACAGTGAAAGGAAATGCTGAGCTTTAAGGGTTGTTTGTCCTACTCTAGTAATACACAGACAAGTGCTCTGAGATCCTTTCATAAAAAATATTACAACTGTTAATAGCCAAAGCAAAAATCTACTACTTCTAAAGTGTTTCTTTACCCTGTAAGTGCTTTACCCTGCAAGTACCAGTTACATGATGTTTTACTCTTTTCTCCTACTCCAACTTCTGAAATCAGGGTTTCTGACTCTTGTGAAACTGAAACAAGATAAAGGGGAACTGG